TCACCCTACAGGAAAGAAACATAAGACAGCTATGTGATATAAGAATGTAATCTAATTGAAATTATATGATTGATTGATTATTGGTTGTGTTTAAAACAACAATTGTTGCACTCTTGGCTACATAGTGGCTGCCTGTTATATTGTTGGAGGAAGATGAAGTACCCAGAAAGAACCAGTGACATTTATCGGGGAATCTGGCAATCCTAGTCAATTATGATAGGAGACAAATGCAACTCCAAAGAGTAAGGTTAGAACGCACAACCTCAGTGTTACCACGCTATTAATCACTGTAGATGAAATACTTAGATCGCATAATTAGCGAGACACTGATTGAAATAATAATTGTACTTTTGTAAAATACAAAATTATGAAATGAGAACCAAAAACATACATCTTTGTGTTTTTATTGTAAAATTCTAAACCTTTAGGTTCTAAATCACTGAAGGATTTCAAGCCATAACTAATGTATTAAACTTGAATACCCAATTTTCCATATTATGAACTAATATGCTTGGACATTAATGTACATTTAAATTGTAAAATTTAAAAACGATCCTGGTAAACTTATCAATCCTTTAAAAATAAACTTATTCTAAAAGGTTACCAATTCAACACTGTAATTAGATCTTTGATTGGTATTATTATTGGTATTAATATTGATTTTGTTATCAGTAAATTAAAAGCAAACTAAATAAATTATTACTGTTATATACATATTCACTTTCATGGATCTACAATCTGTCGATTCCAGTATCTTGGCATTGCACAAGGTCATGTTTTTCTCTGACTGTTTATGACGTCTTTACACTAAATCCATTGGATGTTGGATGTGTACTGATTGATAATTTAGTCTTAGATGCATGATTTCTTTTTATTAGTTGTTATTGGCTTTGAACTAGCTGTCAGTAACTGCGAATACTCTCAGATCTGTACTTTGTGTCTTTTTGTTGTTGGGATGTACAAGTACCCGGCCACGTCCACTTTGTATTTTTGTTAGATGTATTTCTATTTGTATCCATCTGATGAGTTAAGCCTTTTTCAACTGATTTTTATAGTTCGTACTTATGTTGTACTGTTACACCACTGTCCCAGGTTAGGGGGAGGGTTGGGATCCCACTAACATGTTTAACCCCGCCACATTCTATATGTATGTGCCTGTCCCAAGTCAGGGGCCTGTAATTCAGTGGTTGTCGTTTGTTGCTGTGTTACATATTTGTTTTTCGTTAATTTTTTTTTACATAAATTAGGCCGTTAGTTTTCTCGTTTGAATTGTTTTACATTTGTGATTTCGGGGCCTTTTATAGCTGACTATGCGGTATGGGCTTTGCTCATTGTTAAAGGCCGTACGGTGACCTGTAGCTGTTAATTTCTGTGTCATTTGGTCTCGTGTGGAGAGTTGTCTCATTGGCAATCATACCACATCTTCTTTTTTTTTTTATCTTTATCAACTGTCAATAATGGTATTTGACACCATTTTTTTAGGAACAGCAATCTTATCTGTGAAATAGTTCATTAGCCTGGCATCCTGATCCAATCTTTACTTCGTCAATATACTGACAGCGTTAGCAAGCAATGAACCAGAACTCCGACTAATAGTTCAATACCGTACTAGTTGTCTCCCTTATCACAATTTGGAATTATTACTATTGTCACAAGGGAGATAATCATCAAGGAATTTGAAATAAAATAAAATGAATTTATACCAATATCCCTTACAGACTTTATCAATATACCGTCACTAAACTCCTAAACATGTCTAATTGATGAAGGACGCCAAAGTTTGTCCTTTTCCTAAACGACAAAATCATGTCCATATTTCCCAAACGTATTCCCCTTCAATAAAAAGTGTTTCGTTATCACAAATGTTGTTTGAAATTTAATCCTGTCAAGATAATTAGAAGGACCTCAGACCACAGTGCACAAAAAGAAAAATGTCGAAAAGGTTATTAAATTTTTTTTTTTATTTGTAATGTTTCTAAGGATGCTGTTTTGGTGTTGTTTAAAGCTTAAAAGAGCAGTAGGACAATAGCTCTTTAATGGGTCAGGTTCCACGATTTGAAGCCAAATGGGCACAGAATGTCAGGTGCTGCCAAATTCCAAAATTAACAAGACAGAAACCAATATCAGATAGTTTTCATGAATTTATTTTATTCATCTCAGTTATACGTTTTCCACAGCTCGATTCTTACCTCAAATATTGATTTTTTTTATTATTTTTTTTTATTATTAAATCAAAATAAAGAGTTGCCAAATTACAATGGCTTCAATTCAAATTTTTGACCTCTGACCATCTCTGCAATTTTACGGTCTCCATTTTGGATTTTTCTTCCTTCAACTTGGTATCGTTTTTAATCACCAGGAATCGTGCCAAAAATACATCTGTATCAATAACCTTGAATAGCGGTTTTCTTTTGGACTCAAGCAGAAACCTGACATCTTCAATTGTATCCAATGATTTAATTTGCTGTAGACATAACTGATGTTACAGACGACATATAAGCGCTAAAAGGTTTAAGACGTTCTGGCGTCTTAAAGTGTACACGTTTCGGTGGATAACAATCGTCGGGCACGTTTGGAAGAGGTAAAAATCGGACACGTTTGAGCAAGGGTAGTAATCGGACACGTTTGGGGGAAAGGAAATCGGGTATTCATGTTATTCAGTGAGAGGACAACATTAATGAAGGGACAATTATCTTAAGGGACAATGATAGCTTCTTTTCATTCTTCCTTAAAAAAAGTAAAATAACAAAGGAAAACGAACTCCAAGGAATATTCAAAACGGAAAGTCCCTTATCAAATGGCAAAATTAAAAGCTCAAACACATCAAGCGAATGGAAAACAACTGTCATATTCCTGACGTGGTACAGCTATTTCCATATGTAAAAAATGGTAGATTAAACCTGGTTTTATAGCTAGCTAAACCTCTCACTTGTATGACAGTAGCACAAAATTCCATTATATTGACAATTATGTGTGAACAAAACAAACAGACATAATAGGTAAAAATGTAAAAAATAGGGGTACAGCAGTCAACATTGTGTTATAATCTTAATCACTATAAAAACAAACAAATATGACAACAAAGAAAAACAAAATGGCATATAGACAAAGCACACAAACAAAAAGGAAAGACAAGAATACAAAAAATGATCATAGCAAAATAACACATTGACGGGATGTATAAGTACCTAGAAACTATAGTTCAAGACCATCATACATTATTTGTGAAGTTGATACGGAATATTTATCAACAAGGTCTTGGTATCTTCCAATTTACATTTTTTAGAAAAAGGACGAGACGTTCTTTGACATAACCCTGGTTCATCAACTTTCTGCTCAGACAATGGTGACGTTTAATAACTAACATGAGCAATACGACGGGTGCCACATGTGGAGCAGGATCTGCTTACCTTTCCAGAGCACCTGAGATCACCCCCAGTTTTTGGTGGGATTCGTGTTGCTCAGTCTTTAGTTTTCTATGTTCTATGTGTTTTGTGTACTATTGTTTGTCTGTTTGTCTTTTTCTTTTTTAGCCATGGCGTTGTCAGTTTGTTTTCGACTTGTGAGTTTTAGTGTCCCTCTGGTATCTTTCGCCTCTCTTTAATAAATTCTGAGTAGCAGCTGCAAGTTTTTGAATACCGAATGAGTTGGGAAATGTATATCCCATATGCAGGTGAAGTTGGTATATTGCTACTAAGGTGGGGGAAATTGATAATTTCAAAATTAAAATCGTCTCGTTTGTCATAGATTCTGGTACTTAGATGACCGCTATTCAAATTCCAGTTATAAGTCTTAAAATGAGGCAGAGGAAGCCGTGTCTGTTGTTTCTTTAATTTCTAGTTCTGGAGAATATATTACTGGAACCCAATCAGAAAAGTTTGGATTGTTAATGGAAAGAACATCATCAATATATCTGAATGTGAAATTAAAAGATCTGGCTTCTTTGATCTTCTTGTTTTTAACAAGTGTCTGAAGGAATTCCGATTCATACGAAAATACGAAGAGGTCGGCAGAGAGGCGCACAGTTCGTGCCAACAGGAATGCCGACAATTTGTTGCAAAAGTCTATCTCCAAATTCAACAAAAATGTTGTCAATAAGAAACTCCAGCATACTGATCACTTGTCCCTCTGTGTAGCATGTTTTACCTTTTTGTTCATTATTAACAAAATATGCCGTATGGTATCCTAATTGGTTCATGTTATTCAGTGAGAGGACAACATCAATAAAGGGACAAGTATTTTTAGGGACAATGCTAGCTTCTTTTCATTTTTCCTGAATACATTCTGTTCTCACCATCATGTTTCTTTCTTATCTACCGAATTAATTGTGTCCTCGCCCAGAGTTGTTAAACAATTTATAGATTTGAGATTTATAGTGTATTCCTTTATAACACGCTAGTCATAATCATCGATGATGTCCGATATCTTTAAGTTTTCTATTAACTGAATTTGAAAAGTGAAAAAATTTAAGGGACATTTTTACTCTCATTTAGCTGTTATGATAAAATCAAGAAAATATTTTTCGTGATGATAAAACATCTTTAAAGTTTTTGTGAAATAGGAAAATCAATGATAAATTAGCATAATTATCTTTGACAAGTTTTTTAATAAATTATAAGTCAAATTATCTTAGTCTAAATGCATAAAAATATCTTGGTCAAACTCATTATCGTTGGGGAGCTTGTTATAACTTGAAGAAGAGCGCAGAACTTTCCTTTTCACTTTTTTTTCTGGAAAAAAAAACATGAATCTCTGTTGACTTGCTGGATACTTTTGGTACTTGATCATATTGTCTCAGAAAGAGTCAATAGTAAATCTAGCATTTAAAAAACTATTCCATATTCATGACATGTTGTAAGACTTAATTCATTGAATAATAAGTTTAAATCCCTATGTAAAGTAAAAATATTATCAATTTCCTGGTTACCTAGTACAGTTATTATTTCTGAATGTCATTTGAATGCTTAGGACTAACTTCGATCAGGTATAAACACGTCCTAATTCACTTCCTGGTAGGTCAACATTTGGATGAAGGAAAATTATGTTTACCATATAAACAGCTGAGGTCACTTTTTAATCAAAAAGGAGGTATATATACTTCATTTATTTATTCACAATTTTAGTTTGACTCTGTTAGCTGCATACATAAATTGAAAAAAAAATAATAATTGAGGGTTTCCTTGGATTTGGCGGTCAAGGAAATTATGATAACACAAATTTTGAAGAAAGATTATTTCATTCTGCTTTAAGCCTCGGTCACACCTTAACTGATATCTCAACGGATGCCAAACGGATAACTTTTTTTTTCAATCCGTTCATGTCCGTTAGACGTCCATTCGTATCCGTTAGACGTCCGTCCCTATCCATTTCATGTCCGTTTAGCGTCCGTTTTATTCGTCGACGTCAGTTCTGTCAGGTATAACATTTTGAGCATGATCAAAACTTTGAACAGACATCCAACGGATGAAGTGTCCGTTGAACGTCCGGTAGGCGTCCGTTTTGTACGGTACTCGTCCGTTTCGTTTACGTTTTGTATCCGTTACTTGTCCCCATTATACATCCGTTAGAGGTCCGGTAGACAAATTCACCTACGGACTTCTACATGAGGTATAACGGATAAAACGGATGATGAACGGATGGGAAACGGACATGAACGGAAGGATAACGGATACCTACCGATTGTTAAACGGACAAGTTTGAGCTTTCTAAAAAGCTGTGGACTGCTTCGCTCTATCCTAATTTAAGGTAATATGTGTGCATGTGGTTGTTGAATTAGTATTCTGGAGGTGTGCCTCTCTGCAGGTGTGCCTAAATTGGCAGAAGTTATAAAATACAGATAATGCATTTTTGTAAACAATGTATAAGAACATTGTTTAGCAAAACAAATCGTGCATGTTGCAGATTAACAATGCAATTAAACACGTATCAATAATTGATATTTTAATATTGAATTTCAGTGTGCAATATATGCATAATAAAACGAACATGAATTAATGACAGTTGATCGGAACTGAAATACACATAGTTAATTTTCCGGCATTTGATGTCTTATCCTGAGACGAGAAAAGTCTGTAATTCTTTATCTCATTTAAGCCAATAGCTGTTGTTGTATCTCAGCCGCATCATGAAGCAACCAATCAGAATCTAAATGTTATTTGAAATTATTTCAAGATGGCGTGTATATCGACTGAAACTAATAGCTCCGCACCGTGATGCGAAGCAATAAATGCCAATTGAAATTTTGCGTCACTCAGAAATGACAATTATTGATATGTCAGAATTATTGAGTGTCATGAACGTCTATTACTCATGATGGATCTTGGAGTAAGAGAATGTCTTCACTTTTAAGCAGCTCTTATTCAGGTCCGACTGAACTTAAATGTTGCAAATATAAACCTACTAGTTGTCGAAAGGAGAAGAAGTAGAAAACAAAGGAGATGGGGGGGCAAAATGATTGCTTAGTCCTGAAAGATATGTATTATTATTATCGCTTTTAATTTTCCGCTTATCTTGTTCATCCGTTTTATCCGGTAAGCTTCCGTTAGGTGTCCGTTTTATGCGGTACTCGTCCGTTGGATGTACGTTCGACGTCCGTTCTGTCCGGTACGTTTCAGTTTCTCGTACGTTGCATATCCTGTGAGTGTCCATTAGGCATTCGTTACCCGTTCGTTTTATTTGATCAGTATACCAACGGACACCCATCGGATACAAATTTTGTCAACGGAAAACATTTTTTTTTCATCCGTTCGGCGTCCGTCCGAGCTATCCGGTAAGGTGTGACCACAGCTTTATGTATAAACACATTCTGTTTATAAGGGACGAGCAAGATACCAAATGGACATTCAAACTCATAAGTCGAAAACTTAATTGAAAAACAATAGAATACACAACACAACATAGAAAACTAAAGTGTGAGCAACACGAACCCCACCAAAAACTGGGGGTGATCGGGGGTGCTCTGGAAAGGTAAGTAGATCCTGCTCCACACGTGGCACCCGTGGTGTTGCTCATTTTAGTACAAAGCCGGTGTCTTATTCGATAGGTCATATTCGGGGAAAAGGGGACGGGATTGTAGTTAAGACTATTGGAACATATCCGTCGTCATCTGTGAAACAGATATTCCATAACGGCTAACCAACTCGTGATGGCTTCCGTAACATTGAAATAAATTCTTCATTTTTTCATTTGCTTGAAATTAATCAAAGTTATAAAACCACTACTACTTAAAAACCAGTGGTTGAAAGTGGATGTGAGTAGATTAAGATGGTGGAAGTTGAAACTGATGTAAATAACAATGAAGTATATAATCTCTAATTCCAATGAATTGGATTATACTGCTTAGAAGAAGATGGCTTTAAAAACAATTTTGCTTAGAGGAAAATGTCATCAACAACCACATTGCTTAGAGGAAGATGCAACCAAAAACAATATTGCTTAGAGGAAGATGCCATCAAAAACAATATTGCTTAGAGGAAGATGCAATTAAAAACAATATTGCTTAGAAGAAGATGCCACCAAAAACAATATTGCTTAGAGGAAGATGCCATCAAAAACAATATTGCTTAGAGGAAGATGCCACTAAAAAACAATATTGCTTAGAGGAAGATGCCATCAAAAACAATATTGCTTAGATGAAGATGCCACCGAAAAAAATATTGCTTAGAGGAAGATGTCATCAAAAACAATATTGCTTAGAGGAAGATAGCATTAAAAACAATATTGCTTAGAAGAAGATGCCATCAAAAACAATATTGCTTAGAGGAAGATGCCATCAAAAACAATATTGCTTAGAGGAAGATGCCATCAAAAACAATATTGCTTAGAGGAAGATGCCATCAAAAACAATATTGTTTAGAGGAAGATGTAATTCTATAATGAAAAAATCACACCTAAATAATTACAAGGATGTGCGTAATATAAATATTATGATTATGGTAAATGAAGCGCTTTTCTGGATTTACCTTCATCAGGATAACTAAAACCTTAACATTTGAAAGCAAAGGATGTCTAAATATGCTGCAACGTAAGGAGCTATATGATCGAACATGACCTAAATAGAATAGCCAAATTCATCTAATGTCAACTTTGTTTAAAAGAGACGGAACTTTAGATTCTTAAAAATTCTGTAATTATGTACGGAGAATTTAATAGAGGCACATGTTATAAATTATGGCATCATTACGAATCTCACATGACAGTTGTATTTTGAAAGACAAATGTATCTAATAGCTATAAAACATCATGTAAAGTACTTTTACACATTTTGTCAACTTCAAACTATTGTCTGATCGGTTGTCAGGGTGATTTTTCGAAAGTTAGAGAAAACATTAAAACAAATTCTAATGATATTTCATGGAAGGGCAGACTAAAAATCTTCAGAGGTTTGAAGACGATTTACCCTAGATTATACACAAAAAAAGATTTTTTTTTGAAGACATGTAATTTTAGAATCCACTTATAAAGTCTGTCGTCAAGTGCTTTTTTTACATATCTGACTAGCTATGAAAACAGGTTTAATCCACCATTTTCTACATAAAAAATGCCTGTACCAAGTTAGGAATATGACAGTTGTTATCCATTCGTTTGATGTGTTTGAGCTTTTGATTTTGCCATTTGCTTAGGGACTTTCCGTTTTGATTTTTCCTCGGAGTTCGGTATTTTTGTTATTTTACTTTTTGTTATTTTGTATTTAAACAATTGTAATTCTAACACACATAATATTCTGTTGTTATAACTCATAAGAAAGGTATTTCACTTGACCCGTATATTTTATTTTTTAGTACTGTGCATTTTTAATGTTATTCATGTAAATCAAAATGTAGCTTTGATATATAAAAATAATAGAATCTGAAGTGAGATGGTGTATCACATATTGTTGCTTTATACGTTTTCAAGACAAAACAGTCAACTCAAACACGCCTGAATAAAAAAAGGTAAACCTGACTTTCTCTTTTCGATGAGACTATTGCCTATTTTTTTGGATTTTCCCCAAAAAAAAACTGTTGCCAGGGGTAGAATTCATGCTTTTGCACAAAAAAGATCCACATGTATTTGTGACTCGTATTCGACTGTTTAGTGAAAATCTGTCTTTAATATTAAAAGGTTTACAAATATCTCGAAGCTGCATACAATAAATATATATAAAAACACGTATATAAGATCCATTGAAACAAATGTAAACAATACCAAATATACCAACTTCAAATATACTTCCAAATATACCAAATTCAAATATACCAACTTAGTCATTTTTTACCTTCTCTAATAAAGAGTTCCATCTGTTTTGTTTAATTTCAACTGGATATCAGCCTGAGCTATGATTCATTGTGATATAGGTCAATAAATCCTAATTATAAATATTAGCTGGAATAGGGGCCATAGTTACGCTTTATCATACTTACTACTTCATCAATTGTTTGCCATTCTTCTAACATCTCATACTGGTAGGTTGGATATAACTGAATGTGTTAAAAGATATTTTATAGTTATTCTTCATCTAGACAATGTTCAAAGAAAGTGTTCAGCAAAAAAAGCAAACAGCATGGAACAAACGCTTCTACTAAAATTTGTCCATTTATATCAACGAATAGAGACCATTCCTAATAGATTGTTACTGAACTGTTACTGAACAACGGATATGTTAGCACTTTAGCACCGATATTATTTTATTTGCGTTCTATGGATAGACTTAAGGGAGAAATCATTTAGACCTTTTTTTGGTGTCCGATCTTAGGATTACAATTTGTTTACTTATGACTCCTTAAGACAAAAAAATTTGCCTGATTTTAAGAAGTCACTGATGTGTTTGACTATTCACTCGAGGTCAGGAAAGGGTGACCCGAATTAAATCAAACTCAGATGTATTATGATTAACTATTGCTTGGGAGAGTCGGGTTTGCAAGTTTGTAATAAAGTTCTGCAGAAGAAAATATTAGCTCTGAATGAAGCGATGTTAAAATGACTGCTCAAACAGGAAAACAATTAGTAGAGTATCATTTTGTGTATTTGATACTTATTATTGGCAAGCGATACTCGAGTGCTGGTTGACATCCCTAGTTAAAACCCTTATTTGGAACTTATTCCTTAAAGTTCACATAATGAACCCTAGTACTAAGTTATTATGTTGATGTGACCACAACTTCACAGTAAACAGTCTTAATCCAATACTTCAAACTAAAAGGGACGTACAAGAGGACAGAAACACTTGAATTTATGACACTCCTATCATTCCAAGTAGGGCTTCCAATATGGCATGTAACAATGACATAATCATAAAAAAAGGTAACTCATTTACATCACTGACGGTGTTAATTTAAGTTTATGTTTAGGTCATGGCATCAAGTAAACCTGTACACTGCGGACCTTGTAAACAAGATAAAGTAACCACTCAAGCTAACATATGGTGTTACAACTGTGATGAAGGATTATGCTCAACATGTTCAAATAAACACAAAAGAATTAAACCATCACGTGATCACAAGACCACTGATATCAAAACCTATAAAAGCTTACACACTGGCTCAATCAACAAAACAGAATGTGACACCCATAGTAAACAGTATAACCTATACTGCCCCAGTCATTTAATGCCTTGCTGTGATGCCTGTATTACCACTAGGCATTCAAAATGTACTGGAATAAAACGTCTTGCTAGTGTAGTGGAGAAAACAAAGATTGAAAAATCCAAAGAATCTGTAGAAAAAGGTATACTATCTATAACTAATTTCTTGGATGAAATGGTAAACATCAAATCAGAAAACATTAGAAGAGGGGAACAACAATATGAAACCATAAAGCAATCAATGAGTAAAATTCGAAATGAAATCAATAAACATTTAGACAATCTTGAGAAAAAGTTATGTAAAGAAGCAGATATAGCATGGAGTCAGGAAAAATCAAAATTAACAAGTTTAATTACTGAAATTGAAGATGAAACGAAAAAACTGAAGGAAATGCAAAATTATTTAAAAACAGTTACAGAACATACATCAAAACTCCAATCATTTCTAGGAATTCATCAGATTGAACAAAAAGTTCATCAATGTCAAAGATTTGTTGAAGATATTGAAGACAGTGAGAGAGTTTGTGACGTTGACATCAAAATAAAGCAAAATGGTGAGATAGAAAAAATACTCAAAGAATTACAATCAATTACAGCCTTTGGAGACGTGAATGTTATTAGAACAGAAATATCCTTGAAGAGAAAAACAAATGTGAGTAGTGAAGCACAAATAGAATTACAATCTTACATAGACAATATGACAATGAATATTGAGACAAAAATACAAATGAAAATAAGTAAGAAGATTAGTGACATGATTTGTCTGATGGATGGAAGGGTTATAGTAGTTGAACAGGGGGCTAAAGTTAACCTACTCACTTCTGATGGCAAACTTGAGAAACAGTTACCTATGCCTGGTAGCGCCTGGGGTGTAACACAGATCAATCAGGACACTATAGCCATAACATATCCCTGGGAGACCGCCATAAAGATCTTCAATATGAAGAAGGAAACAGCTACCAAGGTCATCAATTTAGGCAGAGCATGCTTTGGTTTATCATGTTCCAACGATTCTTTAGTTGTAGGTTTGGATAAAAATGAAATCCGTATTATAGACTTGGAGGGAAATACACTGAAGTCAATACAAGTTCAGAGTAAATCATCCCTAAATCAACTTGTTTACTGTAATGACAGAGTTATCTATAGAGACAATCATGGTAAAGCAGTATACTGTTATGATGGAACAGGTAAACAGATCTGGCAATACAAACACGACTTATCTGGACCAAGAGGACTTAGTACAGATACTTATGGTAACATTATTGTAGTAGACTTTGCTCCAGAAAGATTAATAATAATATCAAAAAATGGACAGGACAGTAAAGAACTAGTTAAAAAAGGGGACATAGATTTTATGCCTTGGTGTATTTGTTTTAACAAAAGTAATGAATCTTCTGGTTTTATTTGTGATAGCTATGGCAATGACATAACCAGATTTAATCTGTCTATTGATTAAATATGCACTGACAAACGTAAGAACATTACTTGATTATGATATAACAATGTATAATACATGAAGAAGAATTTGGATTTATATTAATTTTATGGTTGAAAACATAAATGTTAAGGGAGGAATGGACTTATATAAAAAGAATTTATACAAAGTCGGGTTGTTATGAAAATTATAATGGTATACAGTTTTGGATAAAACACTGTATTTCAGCAACTACAAAATATTTTGTTTGTCAAAACGTATAGATCCATATAGTGCTTTCCGTACCTTTTTGCAAGGAAAATTGATTTATTGTGGAACTTTTAAACTGTAAGAAATTGTATAATGGACGTATGTTTGGCCTTTTACCTTATGGTTTATGTTGAAAGAATGATAAAAAGTTAAATCAGAAATAACTGTGAGCATTTATTAGAACCATTATGTATTATTGTCCAAAATATGAGATTATTTTTTGTGACTTCACTACATTCTGTAGATATATAGATAGAAATCAGAATTTGAAATACGAGTTCAAAATTAAGAAATACTAATAAAATCACATTTTTCATAATGATAAAAAAAAAACAAGACAGAGTTGATGCCCCATCACAGACATGAATATAGTTCAGCAACCATTAGATTTAGCAAACAGTGATTTTGAGGTACAACTGGGAAAAAAATAGTTGATGCCCTTCCATAGTTATTTTTTATATATTATATTATATATATAGCACATTTTAGTGATCGTTCCTTTCAAGCTTCATAACTTAAGTTTTGCCAAGTTAAAAGGAGCTCAATAATCTTGTTAATAGAATATAAATTTACATAGTAAATGCAATTCTAAAATCATATCACTGTTCTTTAGGCATATGAGACTCATGTCATGAATTGTATTTATCAAATGAATGGGTCGTCTTAATGTATCGTTTTGTCACTGGGGCATACACATTATTTAAAAGCAACATTCTGTCACTTATGGGAAATTAAAAGAAAATCCTAATAATTTGCACATTCTTAGTTTACAAAAATGTATGTACCAACACCCTGCATAAAATAAAGATTATTGCTGTAAAATTAGGGAAGTTTGTAGAACAAACCATTTACCCTGTGTGCATTGTTTTCCCTCAAACAAATTACAAAGTTCAACATCCTGTCATTTGCGTAAAATGCAAAGAAAAATGAAACAAGATGCATATCCTTAGTCTATTTACTAATATCCTGACTAATATACAGGTTCAAGTTTAAGAATTGTACGACGAATAAACTAGACAAATTGTGTACACTGCATGCATAAATTCACAAAATCCTGATGATATGCACACCATTAGTTTAAATGCACTATAAATAAAGGCAACAGCAGTATATCGCTGTTCAAAAGTCATAAATCGATTGAATGAAAACAAATCCGGGTTACAAACTAAAACCGAGGGAAACACATCAACTATAAGAGGAAAACAATGAAACAACAGAAACATTTAAGTGCAACAAAAAAACAAACGACAATGCAACACACACAGAAACTTTAAGATAACAATTGCTATTTTCCTGACTTGGTACAGGACATTTTAAGAAAAAATGGTGGGTTGAACCTGGTTTTGTGGCTAGCCAAACCTCACGCTTTTATGGCAATGTAAATATACCACTAAAATGACAACATTACATGACAGGAATACAGTACAAATAAATGCAAGAACATTCAGGACAGAGAAATACACAAATAAACAATACAATAGTACATTTCGACATGCTAACCACAGAATAACAACGAACACTTAAAACAACCTAGGACAGCACACAAAAACATCATAACAGAACCACGAACTGTCCGTTGGACGACTGTATCAACGCCACAAAAGTTACGTCACAGGTAAACTTCTAAAAATTGGATATAAATCAAGATTAGGTTTGTAATTATGTTATTTGATGTATTTTATAACTATTACAAGAATATTAATTTAGAATTGTGTTAGTAATTAGACAATTAATTGCATTATCTAGCCATGTCGGTATTTCTTCCAAATCAAACTGTAAAACAAATAAATCGTGTACATATAATTGCTTTAAACTAAAATTATATAAATAAACTGGGTGATTAATTATCTTTACTTTTACATATAACACTGCATAATATAAAACACCTCGCTCGAAAACTGAAGCAGAGATTAGCAAGATTAACCCTTTGTAGAAAGGACAGATGGAAAGCCGGATCGGCAGACTCAGTTAGAAATATAACCTTCCACATTTTGTCGCATGAAGGATAGAGGCTGAAAATTATACTTTTGCAGAGTTGTGTTTACTTTATAAAGTTAGACATCTGTTGACGATTATTATGGCTCATAAACAAATTATTAAAGATCCTTTTCCTCAGAGTCCTTTTTTAGCAAAAGAATACCAAGATGCTACGGTAAACATAACATTGATATCTGTGTCATTTTAAACAATTTGTTATCATCAATATATTTGTAGTACATTAATTAAATATTTTCACCTGATGTATTTGTTTAGAAGAAGATGTTTATTTTCCGGCACATTTCAAAATGTATCAGACATTATTTTAAACAAATGAAAAACAATTTATTGAAAAGTGCAATCAGAAACACAAACAATATATAATAGACAATGAGACAGCAACCTGCACACACAAAATCACAAAAGATATCTAGAAGTCAATGAGACAGCAACATGTATACAGAAAATCACAAAAGAAATCTAGAATTCAATGAGACAGCAACATGTATACACAAAAACACAAAAGATATCTAGAAGTCAATGAGACAACAACCTGAACAAAAAAACATATTTTTAGAAGTCATTGAGACAGCAACATTTATACACAAAAACACAAACATTGTATAGACGTATAAAAGTCAATGAGTAAGCAACATTTATACACAAAAACACAAAAGATATCTAGAAGTCAATGAGACAGCATTATTTATACACAAAAACACCTAAGACATCTAGAAGTCAATGAGACAGCAACATTTATACTCAAAAACACAAAAGATATCTAGAAGTCAATTAGACAGCAACCTGTACACATAAAAAAAACGCAAAAGATATCTAGAAGTCAGTGAGACAACAACATGTACACACCAAAACACAAAAGATATCTAGCAGTCAATTAGACAGCATTATTTATACACAAAAACACCTAAGAACCTAGAAGTCAATGAGACAGCAACCTGTACACACAAAAAAAGCAAAAAATATCTAGAAGTCAATGAGACAGCAACATGTATACACAAAAAACACAAAAGAAATGTAGAATTTCAAAGAGACAGCATTATTTATACACAAAAAACACCTAAGAAACTAGAAGTCATTGAACGATCTCTGGAAGTCAATGAGACATGTACAGCCACATGTACACACAAAAAACGCAAACGATATCTAGAAGTAAATGAGACAACAACATGTATACACAAAAACACAAAAGAAACTAGAGGTCAATGAGACAGCAACCTGTACATACAAAAAACGCAAACGATATCTAGAAGTAAACGAGACAGCAACATGTATACACAAAAACACAAACGACATGTACAAGTCAAAGAGACGGCATTATTTATACACAAAAACACATAAGAAACTAGAAGTCGATGAGACAGCAACATGTATACTCAAAAACACAAAAGATATCAAGAAGTCAATGAGACAGCAACATGTACACACAAAATCACAAAAGATATCTAGAATTCAATGAGACAGCAACATGTACACACAAAAACGCAAAAGATATCTAGAATTCAATGAGACAACATGTACACACAAAAACACAAAAGATATATAGAAGTCAATGAGACAACAACATGTACACACAAAAACACAAAAGATATCTAGAAGTCAATGAGACAACAACATGTACACACAAAAACACAAAAGATATCTAGAAGTCAATGAGACAACATGTATACACAAAAACAAAGAGATATCTAGAAGAAATGAGACAGCAACCTGTACACACAAAAACAAAAATGATATCTAGAAGTCAATTAGACAGCATTATTTATACACAAAAACACCTAAGATATCTTGAAGTCAATGAGACAGCAACATGTATACACGAAAACACAAAAGATATCAACATGTACACAAAAAAACACAAAAGATATCAACCTGTACACACAAAAACACAAAAAATAACCTAGAATTCAATGAGACAGCATACTGTATACATAAAAACACCTAAAATATCTAGAAGTCAATGAGACTACAACATGTATACACAAAAACACAAAAGATATCTAGAAGTCAATGAGACAGCAACATTTATACACAAAAACACAAAAGATATCTAGAAGTCAATGAGACAGCAACATGTATACACAAAAACACAAAAGATATCTAGAAGTCAATGAGACAGCAACATTTATACACAAAAACACATAAGATATCTAGAAGTCAATGAGACAGCAACCTGAACACGAAAACACAAAAGATATGAAGAAGTCAATGAGACAACAACCTGAACACAAAAAATATATTCAGAATTCAATGAGACAACAACCTGAACACAAAAAATATATTCAGAATTCAATGAGACAGCAATATTTATACACAAAAACACAACAGTTTTCTAGAAAATGAGAAAACAACCTGTATAAATAATGCTGTCTAATTGACTTCTAGATATCTTTTGTGTTTTTTAGTATACATGTTGCTGTCTCATTGATTTCTAGATATCTAAAGTGATTTTGTGTATAAATAATGCTGTCTCATTGAATTCTAGATAGTTTCTGAAGGGATCTTCAGGTTTGCACTCCGTCTGTCTGTCTGTCTGTCTATCCGTCAGTCCGGCAAATCAGTTTTCCACACGTTTTTCCTTAATGCTTGAAGACATTGCTTTAATATTGAGTGTATTTTTTTATCATGACAACTTGCGATCAAGTTTGAATTTTTTTCTGGTCTGATGATTTTGTGCAGAGTTATGGTCCTTGGATTTAGAAAATTCACCCAAATAATCAGTTTTCCGCCCATTTTTATGCCATGCTTAAAGATATTGATTTGAAAATTGGTATATAGTTTTATCATGACAAGTTACAGATCAAGTTCGAATTTTATTCCGGTCTAATGATTTTGTGTAGAGTTATGGTCCTTTGACTTCACTAAAATATTCAGTTTTCCGCACTTTTTTCGTCATGGTTGAAGATATTGATTTGAAAATTGGTATATAGTTTTATCATGACAAGATCAAGTTCGAATTTTGTTCTGATCTGATGATTTTGTGCAGAGTTATGGTCCTTAAACTTAGCAAATTCACTCAAATAATCCGTTTTCAACACTTTTTTCGTCATGCTTGAAGATATTGACTTTATATTTGTTATATAGTTTACACCATGACAAGTTATAGATCAGGTTAGAATTTTGTTCCAAACAAATGAATTTTTAAACGGTAGGTGACTATGTATGCCATGCAATACTCACAGAATGCTTGTTAGATTCATAAACCATCCTGGATTTTTACCAAACTTGGATAGAAGCTTCTTAAAATCAAAAGATACAATCTAGAGGAAAATTCGAAATATTTTTGTCCCCATATTTGTTGAACCTGTGACTAACAGCAAAAGTAGGCGAGACACTGGGTTCCACGGAACCCTTACAATTTTTTTTATATAACATCCTGTTTCAACTATCCTGTTCTTGTATTGGTATGACGTCGACTTTGTACAGAGGTTTGTTTAAAATACAAAAAGCTAGCCTCATGTTCTACTATATTTATAATTTTATTCCCCTTATTTATTCCGAAAATTTTATATTCATCATATGTTTGATATATTACTGAATGACGTTCTATATACTGATGTTTTTTCTAATATACTATTTACATATTCAAGCCTAGTATAACGTACGGCAAACAATATTTTGATCAATCTCATCTGACCTTTTGGGTGAGCATTTCATAAATTAAAGTAAATGAGCAGAACTTTCTTATTTACTATTTGTCTGCAAAAAAAGCATTAAGCCAGTTACAAGCGTACTCATCTGCTGAACAGAAACGTTGGTTCTTCATCAATCAAGTGTAGTAACAGAGAAAACAGTCAAGGGTACATCTAGCATTAGAAAACACTTAGTTAGATATCATCCAATACACTGAATAATAAGTTTAAATATCCCTATTCAGGTACCTATCAATATATATTTATATATCAAGTTTAGTATTCATCTTGTACAGTATTATTTACAAATGTCATTTAAATTATAACAATAACATAGAACAGGTAAAAACACGTCCTAACTCACTTCCTGGTAGGCCAACATTTTAGATAAAAATGACGTTTTTGATTTGAGCCATATAAACAGTTAGATCACATTGTTTAAAGACAAAGAGGTATATATATATATATATATATTTATTTTAAATATTCATTCACAATTTTAAGTTAGCTTTATTAATTCAAATAACCTTAGAGACATAGCTTGCATTGGATTGGGGAGTGGGGAATTAATTAACATATTTTAAAGAAATATTTTGTTCTGTCGTATGAAGAAATTAACTCAATTTGTTCATGTGATATAAAATTAGTCAATGTTGTAAAAAAAAACCTTTTATCTAAAAATAGAGGCCTCCTAACAAAAATTTCCCGACGTAGGTGATGAGCAAAACCTATGCTGTAATAACAAGCTATATAAGGCTCTGTCAAGACAAAATGTAAAACAATAAAAAAAAAATGGCCTTACTTTTCCATAACTTCAAACAATTTAAATGACAGCAATTTTAAATCAAAAACCTCTTTATTACAGGCTCCTGACTTTGAAAAGGCACATACAAGATGTGGTGGGAACAGTTTGTTTGCAACAAAACATATAATACCACTGTATCAATCATTGATGAAAGATTTTGGCTCATCAGATCAGAATAAAGCAAACAACAGTTACCAAAAATACAAAAGTTACAACGTATACATTTAAGTCGTTGTCGTTTGTTCTTGCCTGACGTTTTCGTGGGGGTGGGGGTGTATATTGTTTAGTTAAGAATTTGGCCGTTCTTTTAACTTGATTCACATTTTTCATTTTAAGTCCGTTCATAGCCGGCTATGTAATTTTTGTATAAAGACACTAAGTAAAAAACATGACCTTTTGCAATACCAAAATAAAAGTATCAATAGATTCAACATGACTTCAACACATTATTTCATAAAAACAATGCCTTCCAACTCTTGAAAGAGGCTTGCATATAGCATGTTACAAGTCATCATGAAATAAAATCTACTTAGACTGAAGTGGTCATGTTAGTGTTTAGGTCATGGCATCAGGTAAAACATGTGGAATATGTCAAGAAGGAAAAGTAACAGATATAAACAAAAACTTCACAGTAAACTGTCTTAAACCAAAACCTCATAGTAAAATGTCTTATACGAAAACTTCACAGTAAACTCTCTTAAACCAAACCTGTACAGTAATCTGTCTTAAACCAAACCTTCACAGTAAACTGTTTTAAACCAAAACCTCATAGGAAACGGTCTTAAACTAAACATTCACAGTAATCTGCCTCAAACTAAACATTCACAGTAATTTGCCTAAAACTGAACATTCACAGTAATCTGTCTTAAACCAAAACTTTACAGTGTTAACTGTCTTAAATTAAACCTTCACAGCAATCAGTTTTAAACCAACACCTAAGAGTATACTCTCTTAAACTAAGCATTCACAGTAATCTGTCTTAAACTAAACATTCACAGTAAACTGTCTTAAACCAAAACATCACAGTAAACTGTCTTAACCAAACCTCCATAGCAATCTGTTTTGAACCAAAACCTCATAGTAAACGGTCTTAAACTAAATATTCACAGTAATCTGTCTTAAACCAAACTTTTACAGTTATCTTTCTTAAACCAAAATTTTGCAGTAAACTGACTTAAACCAAAACTTCACAGTAAAATGTCTTAAACCAAAACGTCACAGTAAACTGTCTTATACCAAATTTTTCAAAGCGAGCAGTTTTACTAAGTTTCACAGTAAATTTTTACAGTAAACTGACGTGAACCAAAAGGTCAGCGATCCTTTGTAAACAAAAAACATCAGAGTAAACTGTCTAACCTAAACTTTAATAGTAAACATATTTTTTTAAAACTTTACAGTAAACAGTTAATATCAAAAGTTCCATAGTCATCTGTCTTAAACCACAATTTCACAGTCAAATGTCTTTGACCATAACTTCACATGAACCTGTTTTAAAGCAAACCTTCACAAGGGTCACACAAAAAGTCAGAAAAACTTAAAACGTAATTCTCTCATACTAGCAAAGACAGGGCTTCAAATATGGAATGTTACAATGAACTGTCATAAACAAAATTACAATAAACTGCTGACAAAGTTATATTTATGTTTAGGTCATGGCATCAAGTAAACCTGTACACTGCGGACCATGTAAACAAGGTAAAGTAAACACTAAAGCTGACATCTGGTGTTACAACTGTGATGAAGGACTGTGTTCAATATGTTCAAGTCATCACAAAAGAATAAAATCATCCCGTGATCACAAGACCATCGATATACAAGCCTATACAAGCTATAAACCTCCGACTGCTTCTATCAAAACAGAATGTGACACACATAGGCTACAGTTCAAATTGTATTGTCCCTGTCATTTAATGCCTTGCTGTGATGAATGTATTTCCATCAGTCATTCAAAATGTTCTGGAATAACAAGTTTAGCTAGTGTAGTGGAGAAAACAAAGATTAACAAATCCATAGAATCTGTAGAAAAGGATATAAACTCTATCACACATTTCTTGGAAAAATTGGTTAAAAACAAATCAGGAAACCTAAAAAGAGGGGAGCAACAGTGCGAAACCATAAAACAATCAATTAGTGAAATTCGAAATGAAATCAATAAACATTTAGACAATCTTGAGGAAAAGTTATGTAAAGAGGCAGATACTGTATGGCGTCAGGAGAAATCAAAATTAACAAGTTTAATTACTGAAATTGAAGGTAAAATTAAAAATGTAAAGGAAATACATGAACATTTAAGTACAGTAACAGAGCATACTTCAAAACTCCAATCATTTCTAGGAGTACATCAGATTGAACAAAAAGTTCATCAATGTCAAAGGTATGTTGAAGATATTGAAAACAGTGAGAGGGTTTGTGACGTTGACATCAACATAAAGCAAAATGGTGAGGTAGAAAAAATCCTCAAAGAATTACAATCAATTGAAGCCTTTGGAGACGTGAATGTTGTTAAAACAAAAATATCCATGAAGAGAAAAACAATTATGAGTAGGGAAGCACAAATAGAATTACAAGATCAATCTAGCATAGAGAATATGACAATGAATATTGAGACAAGAATACAGATCAAAACGAAGAAGCAGATTAGTGACCTAATTTGTCTAGTGGATGGAAGAGTTATAGTAGTGGAACAGTATGGTAAAGTTAACCTACTTACTTCTGATGGAAAACTTAAGAAACAGTTACCTATACCTGGTAAAGCCTGGAGTGTTACACAGATCAATCAGGACACTATTGCAATAACTTATCCTCATGAGACAGCCATTAAGATCTTCCATTTGGAGAATGAAACAGTCACCAAAGTTATCAAATTAAGACAACCATGCTATGGATTATCATTCTCTAATAATTTTCTGGCTGTAGGTTTGGCTTACTATGAAATCCTTATTATAGACTTGGAGGGAATTACACTGAAGACAATACCAGTTGAGAGTGAATCAAACCTGTGTTACGTTGTTTATTGTAACGACAGAGTAATCTATAATGACTTTGATAGTAATGCAGTAAACTGTGTAGATGAATCGGGTATACCGATCTGGCAATATAAACAGGATTTAACAAGACCATGGGGACTTTGTATAGATACCTATAGTAACATTATTGTAGTTGACTTGGAATCTCTGAGAATAATAGTTTTACTACAAGAGGGACAGGTTATTAAAGAACTGGCAGGACAAGAGGATATAGGGTATCCGCCTTATTTTATTTGCTTTAACAAAAATGAAAAATCTTCTGGTTTTATTTGCGATGTCTATGGCAATAACTTAACAAGATTCAATATGTCTTATGGTTAAATATGCACTGAAAAATGTGAAAACATTACTTGACTATGAAATAACAATGTATAATACATGTAGTAAAATTTTAATTTAGATTAATCTTATGGTAGAAGTCATATACGGAGGAATACACTTATATACTAGAATGTTACAAGTGTGGTTATCATGTGTACAATTTACGAAAATTCTGTATATTTTTTCATGGACAATTTTATTTATTGTGGATCTTTAAGATTGCAAGAAATTGTGTAACGCATGTATGTTTATATAAACTAGAGGCTCTCAAGAGCCTGTGTCGCTCACCTGACTCTACTTTGGTTTTAGAAATCATGTAAAGATAGACAAAAATCATAACAGATACCCAAATAATGATTGCAGCCAAATTTGTTTTAATATTGGTCCCGTTATTTAATCAAATATCCTGAGTGGCCATCTTGAACAGTAAATCGGCAACAAAGTAGCAACACTTGGTCAGCACCTCATATGGAACATTCATGCCATGTTTGGTTTCATTCCATTCAGTGGAACTCTTAAAGAAGACATTTGTATGTATTTTCCATAGGGTCCTATGTTAAACTAAGTCCCCCGCTGTCGAACATCTTGGATGATGGACCGACTGCAAAGTAACAACACTTGGTCAGCACCTCGTAAGGAATATTCATGCCATGTTTTGTTTCATTCCATTCACTGGTTCTCTAAAAGAAGACATTTGTATGTATTTCCCATAAGGTCCTATGTTAAACTAAGTCCCCCGCTGGCGGCCATCTTGGATGATGGACCGGCTGCAAAGAAACAACACTTGGTCAACAACTCATAAGGAACATTCATGCCATGACTGGTTCCATTCCATTCAGTGGTTCTCTAAAAGAAGACATGTGTATGTATTTTCCATAGGGTCCTATGTTTAACTAAATCCCCCGCTGGAGGCCATCTTGGATGATGGATTGACTGCAAAGTAACAACACTTGGTCAACACCTCATAAGGAACATTCATGCTATGTTTGGTTCCATTCCATTCAGTGGTTCTCTAAAAGAAGACATTTGTATGTATTTCCCATAGGGTCCTATGTTAAACTAAGTCTCCCCGCTGGCGACCATCTTGGATGATGGACCGGCTGCAAAGAAACAACACTTGGTCAACAACTCATAAGGAACATTCATGCCATGACTGGTTCCATTCCATTCAGTGGTTCTCTAAAAGAAGACATGTGTATGTATTTCCCATAGGGTCCTATGTTTAACTAAATCCCCCGCTGGAGGCCATCTTGGATGATGGATTGACTGCAAAGTAACAACACTTGGTCAACACCTCATAAGGAACATTCATGCTATGTTTGGTTCCATTCCATTCAGTGGTTCTCTAAAAGAAGACATTTGTATGTATTTCCCATAGGGTCCTATGTTAAACTAAGTCTCCCCGCTGGCGACCATCTTGGATGATGGACCAACTGCAAAGTAACAACATTTGGTCAGCACCTCATAAGAAACATTCATGCCATGTTTTTTTTCCATTCCATTCACGGTTTCTCTAAAAGAAGACATTTGTATGTATTTCCCATAGGGTCCTATGTTAAACTAAGTCCCCCACTGTCGGCCATCTTGGATGATGGACCGACTGCAAAGTAACAACACTTGGTCAGCACCTCATAAGGAACATTCATGCCATGTTTGGTTTCATTCCATTCACTGGTTCTCTAAAAGAAAACATTTATATGTATTTCCCATAGGGTCCTATGTTAAACTAAGTCCCCCCGCTGGCGGCCATCTTGGATGATGGATCGGCTACAAAGTAACAACACTTAGTCAGCACCTCATAAGGAACATTCATGCTATGTTTGGTTTCATTCCATTCAGTGGTTCTCTAGAAGAAGTTCATATGTAAAAAGTTAACGACGACGATGACGGACGACGACGACGACAACGACGGACGACGACGGACGACGACGGACGACGACGACGGACGTCAAGTGATGAGAAAAGCTCACTTGGCCCTTTGGGAGAGGAGGATTTGGTATGATTGTCAATTGGACAACTCTCCACAAGAGACCAAATGACACAGAAATTAACAGCTATAGGTCACCGTACAGCCTTCAACAATGAGCAAAGCCTATACCGCATAATCAGCTATATAACGGTAAAAAGAAAACCAACGGCCTAATTAATGTACCAAAAAAAGAATATTTGTTTTTGGTTCATTTTTTTTTTGTAGTACATAAATTATACCGTTAGTTTTCTCGTTTAAATTGTTTTACATTTGTCATTTCGGGGCCTTTTATAGCTGGCTATGCTGTATTGGCTTTGCTCATTGTTGAAGGCCGTATGGTGACCTATAGCTGTCAATTTCTGTGTCATTTGGTCTCTTGTGGAAAGTTGTCCAATTGGCAATTGTACACTCGTTAACACTAAAGATATCTAGAAGTCAATGAAACAGTAACCTGTACACTCGTTAACACTAAAGATATCTAGAAGTCAATGAAACAGTAACCTGTACACTCGTTAACACTAAAGATATCTAGAAGTCAATGAGACAGCAACCTGAACACTCGTTAACACTAAAGATATCTAGAAGTCAATGAGACAGCAACCTGTTAATTCATTAACACTAAAGATATTAAGAAGTCAATGAGACAGCAACTTTATGGCCCCTTATTCCTGAACTTTTGGGGCAATTACCCCCAAACTCAATCCCAGCCTTCCCTTTGTGGTATGGTACCTTGCATTACAATTTCAAAGAGATCCATACACTTAAACACAAGTAATTGTCTGGAAACTAGAAAAATGCATGTTTTGGCCCCTTTTTGGCCCCTTATTCCTGAACATTTAAGGCAATAACCCCCAAACTCAATCCCAGCCTTCCCTTTGTGATATGGAACCTAGTGGTACAATTTCAGAAAGATCCATACACTTACACTCAAGTTATTGTCTGGAAACAACAAAAATGCATGTTTTTGGCCCCTTTTTGGCCCCTAATTTCTAAACTTCATTTTCATAGAGATCCATTCACTTAAACTAAAGTTATTGTCTAAAAACCAAATGTGTCATCGGACGACGCCGACAACGATGACGACATCATACCAAAATACGACGCAAAAAATTGTCGTATAAAAACACAACGTTGAAAACTCAGATTCCTGTAATAGAGGTCATATTTTGACCATTATTTCCAAACTATAAACTGTCTTAAATTTCTCCTCATACGTCCGTGATTATTTTGTTGGTAGTTGCACTGTTTGATGTGTTGTAAACTTTTTCAGCCCAAACAATTGCCTAAAATCAGTCTAGCTTGATTTTTGGTGTGAGACAAGGCTATTTTAAAATTGGTTTGGTCAATGAAATCAACATAATAGCTATGCATGAAGACTGCACTTAGTATAGAAGTACAGTGTCCTGACTGCAATATTGATAATGAACTCCTCTCAGGCTTAGTTGTTATTGACTTTGAACTAGCTGTCAGTAACTGTGAGTACTCTCAGATTTGTACTTAGTGTCTTTTTGTTGTAAGGATGTATAAATACTCTGCCACCTCCGGTCTGGGTTTTTCTGTAATTGTTTTTCCGCTTTGAATCCGTCTGATGAGTTAAGCCCTTTTCAACTGATTTTTATAGTTTGTTCATATGTTGTACATTTACATCACTGTCCTAGGTTCGGGGAGGGTTGGGCACCGCTAACATGTTTAACCAGGACTTATCCTGTATGTGTGTGTCCCAAGTCGGAAGCCTGTAATTCAGGGGTCGCTGTTTGTTGCTGTATATCATATTTGCATTTCATTCATAGTTTTTTACATAAATCAGGCTGTTGGTTTTCTTGTTTGAATTGTTTTACATTTGTCATTTCTGAGCCTTTTAAAGCCGACAATGTGGGATGGTTTTTTCTCATTGTTGAAGGCCATGTGGTAACCTATAGTTGTTAACCTCTCTGTCATTTGGTCTCTGTTGGAGCGTTGTCTTATTGTCAATTATACCATATCTTCTTATTTTTATAGTAGGCATTATCAATGTTTCTGTCAATTCTATTCTCCCTCTGGTAGTCTATATATTATGACTATGCCCTATTTATTAGTGTTTATCAGGTGAATAGTTTTAAATACTCAGAATATCTGTCTTTTATTAGTTGAAATAAGGCTTCAATAACAAGTACTCTTGGTTCTATGGCTTTTGATATTTTGTTTGTCTAATTCCAACATGGTAATGCCAGCAGACTCTTATAAAATATAAAATTTTATTAATACAGTTTCAGAATGTAAAAGATGTCACTGCTAACTTGGCAAAAATTATTTTCTATGGGTGATTAGAAAATCAAGAAAACAAACATATAGACCTAATTGCGATTTTTTTTAAATATTATTTTGTTTCACTTGTTGAATTACACACTGGATCTTGTTCTGTTCATAGAAAATGAAGATATTTTTTGTACTGATCTTATCTGATTTGGACAGCATCAATATAAGTCCCGACATTGATTTTCAATTTAAGCCAATCTGATATTCAAGATGGCTTCCATTGCTTTTAATCAGTTGACACTTTTTTAATACTTTTTAAAAAGGTTCTTCTTCTTCTTCTTAAGTTGTACATGCACAGTATACCATCGAGGAAACTGTAGATAAATAACTATTGCATAGGTGGTCTATTTTTGTGAATAAATCAATGTAAGTACAAAGGATGGTTTGATTCTGCTAATCTTTTAGATATATTTATTGAAATGATTGATATTTTAGGTGTTGTGTATTTCATGTTAAGCATTTAGGTTTAATACCTCTGTCACATCCTATTCTTTACTCATGGTTGTAAACTGATATAAAAAAAAACTAAAAAGCAGACTTTCAGAAAACAATCTTTTTAAAGATAAGATATATATATATCATTTTACTCCATAATAAATATTGCACCCTCACAGCTATATATCAACTTTGTTTCATTCTTTTCTCTGAATCAAATACATATCTTTTGAATGTAAGAAAGATTTTGATTGGTTCATGGTCTGCCTGCTGTTCATCCTGATTGGCTTCTGAATCTTTGCTTTTATTTTTCTTTTTCGTTCCAGAATATTTTTGCTGAATTTCTTTTGAAACTCCATCTGTAAAATGAAATATATAAAATTTGTTAGAAAAGCAGACCAGCTAATCAGCAATGAGTTAAACTACTTATAGGTTTGGAAGTAAGTAAATATTTTTTAAACTTTTTAACTGTATTTGGTGATTGGGAAACTTTTTTCAGATGAATTAATTATATTTTGGATACATGAGTTGAAAAATATGCTATAAAAAGCCATAAAAATATATATATTAATGTATTCTTCATATATA